CACGTACTCTTGTTCACATTAAAGTTCTTGTATTATAAAACTTCTAGCTTCTTGCGCCGTGCATGTCTCTTGAAATCATCTCTTAGATCTTTAATTCTCTTCGTGCATACTGAAGCATTCCATCAATTGTCCAAAGGTAGAAAAGAAGTTCAACTGGATACTGTCCTGTACTGTAGTTGATGGAGTTAAAGTCCTCTTTTTATTAAAAATACCTTAAGAAGTATCTAAAAATGTAACATTCCTAACAATTGTACGTATTCAAAAATTGAAACAATTTTTTCGACTTCTCAAAGAGTTGATTCATCAAGGACAATAAATTCCCAGTTAGAAAACAAAGTTTTTAAACTTCGATCAATACTTTAATTTTATTTTAATTTGAGAATGTGGAGCGTGATGCGATACACTCAATAGTTATATGAGTTGTTTCTTTGATTAAATCGTTGTCATAAATCCTTCAGTTTCTGATAATGAATTTCCTCCATCATCTATATGTTGTGGTTTTAGTTGATTTGAGTATTATCTGATTGTGAAGTGCAACATCCACTTTTCAATTATGGATTCCCCTTTTTGTTATCCTGTGACAATTTAGATTAGCGTAGCAAAGGTTAAAATAAGAGAGATTGAACTATATGTTGGATTATCGGCACTTCTTACCTTGATGATAGAAAGGACATTCGGGCAGTTGTTCTGGCGGAAGGAGTTTCCAGCAGGATACCTGGACATGGCGACTGTCCTGTTGGAAGAACATATCGATTTTTAAACGATATTATGTAATAGGTTTTTGGTAAAAAAATTGTCTTCATTCTCGTTTTTGGAGCTGTAAGGATGCAAATGAAAGGAATTATGACAAAATCCGATTAAAATGAACAAAATTTTGTCTTTTTTGGGTGAGAATGCAAAGTCAACTGCGGAATGCACAGATTTGTACAGTAACATCATTACCTTTTATAACTCTGCGAACACTAAAGGTAGAGAACTGAGATTTGTATATTGTATGAGCAAAATTTCATAATGAATCCAATGCTGTAGCTTCAATTCTTTTAGAAGAAATGCCCTTGGGAGTTCTATCATCACAGTATATAATTGCAAGTTGTCGACTTGTCTATCAATCAGTCAATTTCTTTTCCTGATAATACATAATTCTCTCATTATTACCATCCGGTCAGTGGTCAACTTTAAGCAAGTATGAAGACGGGCTGATAGCAAAAAAATGTTACTCACTCACATCTCTTTGGATGAGTTGTGTATACTTGAGTTATATAATAAATCGGTAGCATTCTTTCGAGTTAAGTATTATGTATTATGATGAAAATGGGCGTGAACACGTTTCGAAGAAGCAGCCATGGGCTATGACCTTAATTCAGACAAGTTCAAGGCCTGTCGACAGTATTGCCTTATTTATGTGTGCATTGCACTAGTAGATTACTAACGCTGATCATAGACTTTAGGAACAACACACGTAAACACTTATTAATAAAAATTACTAATTACTAATTAGTAACCTACTTTTTTAATGCAACTGATTTTAAGTAGGGACAATCTCTACGATTAATCCAAAATTTCATTTTATTTTTAAAATGCACCACCCTGGGATCCGTCAAATGGGCATACACCACCTCGTAGCAAAACTCCTAACTAAAATGAGGGATAAATATCCGAGGGAATGGTATACATAAATCATTTTTTAAAATAATAAAACACGTTAAAAAAGTAAAAAATTTTTTGATGATGGAGTCGACGAAGTTTTCTTCTAAAGTTAAATCAAATAAAAAGTTAATATGTTCAGTGAAAAGCTGCAATAGCACTTCAGACATAGATCTTCACTCTTCACCTACATTAACTACTTTCCAATAAAAACTAACCGTTTTATATATGTAAAAAATATATTCGGAAAATTAGAGAAAAAAGTAAACTAATAGAAGCTTGGATGAAAGCAGTAGGTATCAAAGAAGTGAATTCCGGAATAAAAATTTGTTCACGTCATTTTAATGCACATGATTATATTTCAGCAAGTATTTACCATCAGCTATAACCTTAATATTTAAAACTAGAATCATACTAAAATTATAAAGTGAGAAATTATTTATTCCTTGGAAATTGCACGGTACACTAGAGGAACTACGATAAATTTTCCCTAATCGGCGCCATGTTTTTAGGCTCCTCCCATTTGACGTATCCCATATAGGTACACACGTCAGTTTTCCATTCATTTTCTTCTACCTGTTGCGATTTGCTTATTTACCGGAAAACCATTTTCACATTCGAAAACAGAAACAGAGTTAGAATGGGTTAAATCTGACCTTTATGGTAGACACTAAAGGAGCCAGTAGTTTAATACATGCGATTTTATCCTCTTTATTGTACCATTATCAGTATTTGTAACTGCATGATGATACTATGTGTAATTACCCCAAAAAACAGTAATTAAAACAAAACCAATCAAAAGAATTTTATTTTGGTTAAAATTGATAAATGCGCGTGACATTTTTAGATAACATTGCATCTAAAGAACCATCTCTAGTTTAATTATTGTTCTTTTGTTTCTGGCGTTTTACATGGCTTCAAAAGTTCTATTAAAATGCTGGCTCATTTAGGTTTTCTAATCAATATCGGTGTGTATGTATAATAGCTTCGCAACCGAATCACGTAGACTTTAGAGGGTTGATAGCTTTTCAACCCCCGTCAATGAAGTTTCGGTTTTTAGCTGAAGGGGTTAGTTTTAAAGATATGAGGGTAAAAATACTATCACCCCGAAAGACTCCCTATAGAGAGTTAGTAGATAAAGGTGATAATTAAACTCCGACGTGTGGTCAGAATGTGGCACAATTGTCCTGAATGCACTGCATCTATAGGATTCGAGAATGTTCCGGAAGTTTCTAAAAATTTCAAGAACATTTTCGAATGATAATCCGACTTGAAATAAAAATAAAGGTAATAATTTATGAATCTTGAAAGATCATTCGATAAAGCAAATTCCAATATCCAAATGAGTATATGTTTTTATAAAGCATACTTGGGCTTTGATTGATTGATTCTTCCCCTCCAGTTAGAAGCCTTAGCTTTTTGGGCATACGATATTAATTTGTGAAATTCGGATTTTCTTCTTTTCTTTTTGGAAATGCAGTAACCATCACATACGTACCGTTCTCAGTAATAATAATAATTTTAATTGTTTGTATTTATTACTAAACGTGTTTATAATCGTCACGTAAACAACACATGTTCCACATGTACACAATATGTTTATGGAAGATGTTCATGTAAACACGACTATTAAAATTGTTTGATCATATAATGAGAGCTATCTAATTACAAAATAGTTATTGAACCATATGTTATTAGTAAGTTGTATACCATCAATAAAAAAAAAAAAAAAACAAACATTCCACATGTTATTGTAATTCATGCATTTAAATTACTTTGAAAACAATTGGAATGACTGAACTTGATTCAAACTATCAAAGTATTCGCTGGCTAATGTTTTCGTTTTTATTGTTTATAAACAAACAAGCCTACTCAGTATTTTGTAAATGTAGCTAAAAATGTGTTCAATAAGCAAAATTGAAACCGTAACAGAAAGTCCTATTGTTTATAAAATAATAAAAATTGTATATTTTCGCTACCATTACTGTATTATGTAATTATACTACTTTTAATAAGTTTTGAAAAAACTGCTCATTTTCGTCTGCTTCACTTGTTAATTAGAAGTTAACAAACAATCACATTCAAGATCAAAAAATTCTAAGTACCCTACTACAGTAATATTCTTACAACTTCATCATCATCATAAGGTCGTCAGTCCCAAGACTGGTTGGACACACACATCCACTCTTTCCTATCCTGAGCTAATCTTCGTATGTCCTTAAAACTAGAACACCCCACATACTTAACTATTTGCGAACAGTAATCTAACCTAGGTCTACCTCTACTCCTCTTAGCTCCTTATGCTGCCTCTAATATGTCTTTGACTAGCCCTTCATGCCTGAGAAGGTGTACCAACCTATCTCGTCTACTTTTCATTAACTTCCAATGAGTCCTCTGTTCTCCTATTCTCTCTAATATCTCTTCATTTCTAACCTTCTCTGTCCACGCTATCCTCAACATAAAGCGACTCAACCCTGCGCTACCCTTTGCTTTATATCCCTACTACTCCTTCCGTCCTGACTTACCTGACTTCCTAGATACCTAAAATCGATCACTTCTTGTAATTTTTCGTCTCCTATCTTTATATACGCTCTTTCCTTACTTTTTCTTCCCTTACAACTTAATAAATTACTTTACTTATACATTATGTAAGATAAGTTGGACATCTTCTCAGACATGAAGGTCTTGCTAGAGATATATTGGAAATAGAAACAGGGGTTAGGAGGGGTAGATTACTGTTCCCAAATAGTTACAGATGCAAGGTGCTTCAGTTTTCAAGAACTTGAAAATATGAAGAAGAGAAATCTTAGGACTGACGGCTATACGATGATGACAATACATTCTAGATTCTATTATATATTTTCTAAATTAAATTCTGATTAATAATCATTTAGGAAAGAAATTTCATTTCGAATTTTGCTCTTAACTGTTCGAACTTTCTGTTTTATTGTAAGTATATGTATTATATGTACAAAGTAACATGTAGTATTTGTGATTTTCTATTGATTTTCCGCACACGTATCGTGTCTATCAGAAGTCGCCTATCTAGCGTAAGAATTATTTGTATTTTTTAGAATTTGTCAACCACCACGACGTTCGTCTTCGTTGTTTTATGAATTTAAATGTTCCACATATCAGGTTTCTTTTTCATTGTGAAGCAACATGAATATTTAATCTATTAAAGCATCGTAGAAAAAGTACCGAGGTGAATTCACAATTAAACATACTTGCGATTAAAAGGAAACTGACAATGTTGAATGCAAATAAGTACTTCTATATTTAGTAGAAGCTCATGTTTTTGAATTTTCTGCCCATGATGTATCTACCCTTCATGTGATTCGAAGTATTATTTTCAGGTGAAGTTGACATTTGTGGAAACTGTGCCAGAAGTTTTTGAGTATCCCTCAGAAGACTCTCTACAAGAGGATTTTTCGTCCAATGTGTCGTCGTCGACACCAGGTCACACGGTTCCTTCTCTCTCAGGTTAGCAATCAAACAATAATAACATCTAATTTTATTTAAATCGAAGCATTGGTTTAATTTTAATCAAAATTAACCGACAAAATACTTGAACATTTCACAAAGAAAGGAAAAAATATCAATTTAATGTACAAATATTATTATCTGTAATTTATTTTCGTATAACAAAGTAGGTATATTTGGATAGCTTAAAACAAACGTGATAACACTATCTATCTTAAATATTTAACCATTATATTTATTTTCCTAATTTCGGCAATAGATAATTGTTACCAATTAATCAATTTCATTTGGAATCATTCGAACAAACAACTCAATGGAGCGTTGACACTAAACTTTATTGATTAATCGGAAGACATTTTTTTAATTAGCGGCAAAAGTTTTGTTCACAAATACCTGATGATGAGCCTTCATATTCAATTATTGGTTAACAGTATTTTACAATTAGGGTCAACATTGGCAAATTACATTCCAAAAGCCGCAACTGAAGACTTTAAATTAGGTATGACGAGATCGCTAATTTCCGTATCTCAAACGGAGGTCAAATCGACAGATAATGAAGATGAACCTACACTCCAAGAAGCATCAAACCCCATCTTGTTCAGTGCTGGGACCAATTCAGACATTCTTTTCTAACTAATTCCTATTTTGATAAAAAAAAAAACGAATTTTTTGATACCATTTTTACATACTACTACTACTACACACATTTGTAACGTGTTTAAAACTTATTAATTGATATGCTTGGCGGAATATTAAAAATAAATATTGCCAATCACCGATGATACTATGTGTAATTACCACAAAAAACAGTAATTAAAACAAAACCAATCAAAAGAATTTTATTTTGGTTAAAATTGATAAATGCGCGTGACATTTTTAGATAACATTGCATCTAAAGAACCATNATATATTAAGTTACTACCAGAATACAGCTCTTTATTGCATTTTATATTCTTCGTATATTATAAACAATTAATTTTTGATGTATGTTGATATTGTACTGTACATCTACGTTGATAAATTTAGTTTAATATATGTATAATTATTGCAGTATATCGTGGACTTAGGATACTTTAGAAAAAGAAGAAAAAACAGGGTAAAAAAATTATAGGTAATATCACATTGTATAATATTCTTTTCGAAAAAACTACATGTGGTATACTTACACTAAAAAAAGTTCTTTCGATATTTGAAATTTGATATCTTTTTTCTTTCCACGATATACTTTCTTATGCTTCTTATTTTTGGTTATTATGAATGTTTAGGAGTTTATATCTAGTAAGCTAAGATCTGTGATTTACATTTTATACTTTTTTTGGAATTAAAACTGTATAAGATTCCAAGTTTCTTAGACCATTAGATGTGTTTATTGTTTGAAAAGCAGTCCCTCTTAAATTACCATAATTATCCCAATCAAAGATGTTAACAAAAATAATTAAAAATATGTTAACATCAAAGTAGAGTGATTTTTTGTAGCACCTACGCGTTATTTCTTTCTGCTTTTTCGTTCTATATATCTTTATGTATCATTTACGTTGTATATATTTTAGAAAATATTTTCCACCTTCCACCCTTCAGTACTGAATGCATTTATATTGCTAACATAACAGGTAATCATAAGTGATAAATAATTCAAAGTCGACTGCTTTTTAAGATAGTTTGTATTGGCTTAAAGCCTAAATTAATATTGTTTAGCCTTTATTAAGTGTATATACAATACTACGTTTTAATAAAAAAATATTTAAAAAAACATCAATATAAACATAAACAATCTTCCTAAACCTATTTAATATGTAAGTACATGTACAAATATATATTTTATATTTATAGTAAAATAGGTCAACAATATTCGCGCCCATATGTTTTAAATAACTGTATTTAAAATTGCCGCCTTTACTTGTGAAAAGACAAACTAATCTGGGGCGATTTGATTGGTCCATTCATGTATGTTTAATGTCTGTTTAAAATTACTGTTGAGTGGTCAGTTTGGAAGTTTTCAGTGGGCCAGTGTTTGTTAATTTTTGTGTTATTTATAACAATTAATACTAATTGGTCGTAAATGCCTTCATTAAATACATTTATTTATGTAATGGTGCCATACTAAATTTATACCATAAGCAGTATTGTTTATTATGTTAAACTATAACCTAATTTTTGTCTCTAAAGTATAAAAGAACTTTAAAAGTAATAAGACCAATTTATAAGTATTCGAGATATATAAAATGTAATTAGTATGCCATCGTTTCCTCTAAAGAATAGTGTTGTATGCATTTTTTGGACTACAGTGTATACGACTAAGAAGTTTCATGGTTATGAAGGACCGACCTCCAAGAATAAGGAAGAACTGGGTGAGTACATACCTTGATAGTATTTTATTAGATTGTTCATTTGTTTTTATCTAATACATGTGTATCACATGCATTCTACAATTAATGCATTGTTGAAACTCTGTACTTGGATATGACTGTACCTTAAGTAATTGCCACCGACTATATTATGAAAACATACTTACTAGCAGCTTAATAATATTTCTTTTTTAAGAAGAGAAATAAGTAATAATAAAATAATATGGGTTGTTTACTTTTTAAACTATAAAAATATCCATTTGAACTGAAAAACTGAGCAGTGAAGCCCCTTTAAACATTAGTTAAAAATAAAACAACATAACTCAAAAAGAATAAAGCTTTATTAGAACTTAAATGTTTAATTCTTTTAAACAAATACTAGGTTCAAAGAAAACAAGATTTAATGCAGGAAAACTTTTCTTCAGTATTATTCTTGAATAGGCTTTGGAATTTCACCAAAAATGTTTATCAAATACATTAAGAAATATGTATGCATTGATATATATCAACTACTATCTGTAAGGAACGGTACTGCCTCATTTTCTTCATACTCAATTATCATGTCTCCATTTAAGGTGGATATTTTTTCCTTTAAATCTGCTAACACCTGTAAATATTTAAGTAGAACGTTTAACATATAGGTAATGTAAAATGCATTAAATTAATTTGCACTTACCCTATTAATTTTGTTAGTATTTTCTCCTGTATTACTTTTTACTAGATTTTCCATTTCAACAGCTGAAAGTCCCCCTAATTTTGTCATAAAATCGTTGTGAACCCATATAGCTAAATCCCCAGTATCATCACTAACTGAAAGCTTAAGGAGCCACTTGCCCTCAGTTATTGTTAGTTTTTCAAGAACAGATTTAAATTTTGCTTTAATAGTAAACTTAGAGGCATTGTTTTTCTTGAATTGCAATTCATTTATTGATGTAATTTTTTTTATGGGCATTTGCTGCTTTAGCTGTAACTGCTGTGAGTCAATAAAGTCCAAGTGTGCATCAATGTCCATATTTTCAAACAAATCATCATCATCATCTTCAAATTCAAATCCAGTTTTCTTCGATTGATTAAATTTTTCATTAGTCTCTTTTGTATTTCCCACTGATGAGTTTATATTTCTACTAGTAAATTCAGAAAAATTCTGTGTTTCATCTTCTATTGCATTTTCAGCATTCAGAAGCATTTCCACTTCCTCGGCTAATTGTTGTTCTTCTTCATTAGTTAAAGAATAGTTGTTACTGCTGTTACTGCAAGTTTTACTCTGTTGTAATCTTTGCACATTTTTATTTAAATTTACATTATTTAAAGAATTTTGCCTATTCTGGACTGCATTTGTATTTATTGTTACATTATTCACTCTATTAGTTTGTAATTGGTTACTTTTATCTTCAACCCCACTATAAGTAGATAAGTTTTGGGTACTCACACTGATGTTCTCAATATTATCTTTTATTTCAATAGGGTTGGGGTTTTCAGGTAATCTTAAAGCTCGGGCCATTACATTTTCAGCTGCATTTTGTATTTCGAGTTCTTCAACCTCTCCATCTAAAACTACTATATTTTTTTCTTCTAACAATATTTGTCCTCTTCTCACGATTACTGGTCCAACAATTTGCAATTTCACACCAGGAGTTAAGTTCAAATGTAATGATGATATAGGCCTAAGTTCAATAGCTTGTATTTCTTGTACACCATCTGTAAGTGTTAACTGTAACACTCTGTTGCTGTTATTTTCTTCTTTTTCTATATCGCTTATTCTAAATGCGCTTTTATTTCTTATTTTCTGTAATTGCGAATATTTTGGTTTTGAGATATCAATGACATACATCATTTGTAAATAGTAGGTTTCAGGTAAAGTTGTTTTAATTTGCTGTGCCAAATTAGGGGGCAATACTGGTACTTTAACATCTCTTAAATCAAGTAAGAGCCACTGCTCATATACTTGCTTATGAAGATCCTCTATTTTAAAAGTTACATCTTGGTGTTGTTCATGACACCATTCCAAACAACTCTCTAACCACTCGTCAGATAAATGTAATCCATTAGACGAAAAGAAATTCTTAACATTAGTAACTTCATTATCCATTAAGACTTTTTAGTAGTAAATTATTCATTCAAATATTTCAATAGAAAATAACCAAATACAAATTAAGTGAGGTTATATGTGCAGATATTATATCAGGTTATGTTATTTACCATAGATAAGTTGTTTACCGTAGATAAGTATTACATTTTGAAATATAGAAGTGTTCAGTTGAACTGAATCTAAATAGAACGTTCAAACTACTATACACGCATCAAATTAAGTCGTTAAGAATAAGACAACGTTATTTAAAATAAACAAACGTATATTAAAACTTAAAGGATGAATTCTGTTGAACAAATGAAAAAGAAAACAATCTTTAATGTACGAAAATCTTTCTTCGGTTATATTCTTGAATACGCTTAGGAATTTCACCAAAAATATTTAAAACTCCTTGTGCCACGTAAGGCATTAGACCACTGCTACACGAATTTGATAGGTAAATAGAATCAGGCAAATATATAGAGCCCAAGGCAATGTAATTAATAAGCTCTAAATCTTCAGGAAGAACTGGTGTTATCAAATACAGTTTATCATTCACCAAATCAACAGCACGTACAATTCCTAAAACATTTACATATCATATTTTATGTCAAATATAAAATAAAAAATATGCTGATCAAACTTACCCCATCCTATGCAAACACAGCTATCATACTCTTGTCGTTTATGACACAAACAAACCAAATTACCATTCACAACCAATGGTGGTACAATTTTTTTGTTATGTATTATTTTAATGTCAGATAGGCTAATTCTAAAATATTTTTTTAGTTATTTTCGTAATTAAGGAAAAAAAGGAAAAGTTATAAAACAACTTACTCATAAACGGGAACATTTTTATCAGTTAATAAATTTCTTTCAGGAGATACTATTTTCCCAAAATACCAAAAAATTCGCATTTCCCTTAGTTGTTTTGCCGATGTGTCGGCGTTTCTGTTACCATCGGCAACTGACCCTATAGATACATATTGGTAATTTAACGACGCTTCAAAATAAGGCAAAAAAAGTTTTGCTTGATTTTCGATAAACTCTGGCGTCAAATTTTCTTTAAAATTTCGCTGAATGTGTTTACTTTTGATTTGAATCAAAATCGTAGGACATAATATTGTAATTACTGAAGCTGCTAGATTCACTCCAAGTCCCCTGGAATACCCCATATAATTAACAAAGGTTACCATGGGCTTCAAAGTTCTTGTGTATGTAACAATCTCTTTTACTGCATTCAAATATTCACGCGGTTCATTGCTAACATCAATATTAGACACGAAAAAACTCCTGAAATGTAGGAATTGATTAATTAATGATCATAGGATATACTCTGAAAAGCGGTTTTTACCTTTCAGTCTTTCGTAGTTGCGTATAATTTGGTCCGAAAATAGGTTCATCGATTATAACAGCAGAAACGCATCCTGGTAGGGTAAATTCGGGTTGACCAGGATCTAAATCGATGACCAGAATTTTAGAGAACTTTGCCAGCAAACTATTAATGCAGTATCTTAACATACTACTTTTCCCAACTCCTTTTCCTCCGCATATAAAAATTTTATCTGTTACATCAACATTTCTTAAGCATTCCCATTCTTCATTTGGTTCAAATATCTTCCAATTGTCGATTCTGTCTGTAAACACACATCGCAAACCAGTTTCGTCGGGTTTAGGGAAAATCGGTTGAGTAACATAATTTTCCATGAATTTCAAACTCGAATTTTCGAACGTTTCACAATATATCATAGCATCATTAGGTTGACAATCTTTCAACAGTTCTTCTAGTGAACTATTTTGAATGTGGAGTTCTTTGAGTTTAGGGTGGGCATCTAGATCTGCTATGTTATTTTCTTCAACCGTCTCAAAATATAAACATCCGTTGCCTCGGGGAGAATAGATCTTAGCAGACTTTGAATTAGGAGTTAATTTGTACCCTAAAACTTCAACAGCACCTTGAAGAACTGTTACCAAAAGGTATCCATTAAAATATAATTTTGATTCAGGTTTGATAATTATTATCAGGGAATTGTCAAGTTGAAAAAAGTTAGCAACTGCTGTTTGAGGATTTTCTTCATTTTCGTAAACCTCTGGAGGATTAATAAAGCCATTACATTGCTCCATAAGAGGACTTGGTGAACAAAACCCATTTAAAGTTTCTCCAGCATCTTTTATATTACTCTTTGGAGGGTTTAAATTTGCTTCAGAAGTATTATTGTCATCTGCTGAATCATCACTTAATGAAAAAGATGGTTCTATTTCAACGTCATCTTCTTCAAAGGCGCTACTTATTGAAAAACTTGTTTCATTTTGTGTATAAATATCTGAAGCAAAAACTGAATCTTCTAAAGAAATGTTTCCCACTGAGGTTTCCAATGTTGAACAAAATTCTGCATAGGTTTCAGTAATTTGTTTAGGAAAATTTTCAGGTATTGTATAGTTATTGTCCCCTACACTCATTTCTACATTCTGTACTTCATATGTAATTTTGGGAATATCTGTATTAAGAATTTCTTTGATGTTATCATCTTCTGTTTGTGAATTATTACCAACTTCAGTTAAAGGATCAGTGACTTTACCTTCAAAATGTACTTCATCTACATCAAAATATGTTGAAGGCTGCATATGATTATTATCATTTTTTTCAAAAGTAATCAGTTTCTTAACTAACATATTAGATTGTGTATTCTTGCCAAAATATTGATTGCTACCTATTGTTTTAGTGGTGTGTTCTTTTATTTTCTTATTGTGCCTCTGAATGCTATTTTTAGTAGCAGAATTATCTGATAATGAATCTGAGGAAGAAGTAGTTTCTAATTTCCTCTTTTTTGTTTTCTTTTTTAATTTCTTCCTTTGGGGATTTTCAAATGTGGCAAATTCAGACAAAGATGGAAGGAGCAATGATGAACCAACTGCAGAACTTACAAAAGACGAATCAGTCATGCCTATACTATCACAGTTACTTTCTTTTTCAAAAATATAAGAATCACTTGAACAGAAGTTTAATACTAAATTATTAGGCTTTTTATCTAATTTGCTTTTTTTATGCTTAAATTTATATGGTGTACATTCCCTCTGAAGTGTTTTTGAATCTGGGGTGTTAACGTCGTTACTAAAACTTACTGTCTTCCTTCTTTTTGGATTTGTGTTTGCTGGCAAAGTGCATTTTAACATTTCAGGTGTAGGTAAAAAAGTATCAGACAAGTAACTTTGAACATCTTCTTTTAGTTGTTCCTCATGTGTATTTTTCTTATTTTTTAATGTAGAATTGCTTACCCTTGGATAAATTCTTAAGTCGTCTCTATAGATACCTTTAGTTGTCTTTTTATCCATGTTTAAACAATTTTTGAACCGGTTAAGAACTTTAGGTTATTCACTTCAAAACACATTATTTACTCAATAAACATTCAAAATACTTGTTTTAAACCTTTACCGAAAAATATGGTATGCAATATTATGAGAATTTGATTTAAATTATTTAATTTTATTAAAGAAAGCACTTCAAATTTCTTTCAGATCTCGTGTTGATTTATAGGTTATGGTTGGTTTTGATTTTGAAAAGCCAATAAATAAATAGGATCTTCAAATAGAAGTGTTTATTTAGCCATATTAGGTTGCATTCAAAGATGTAGATGTGAAACTGATTACAATTGGTATTGACCAAGTAATATTTATTCATTTTATTTTTAATTTTGATATTATCTTACTATCTATTAATANCTTCATTTTGGGACAGATATATACCAAATTGTAATTTTCCATCGAGGTTTTCTGATAAGGCTTGTAATGGTTCGTGTGATTTTTTACTTGTAAACTGATTAACACAAATCATATGACACCTGTTACATCGACCAACAAACTAAAAGATGAATTATAATTAAAGTATTTTTACATTAATTAGGAGGAAACAAATATTTACATTAAATTTTAAATTCCCAATATGGAGTTCCCTTAATTTAATTTCTAGAAATGGTTCATTTAAATTAACGACAAAATTGGGACGAAAGCGAGTCATAAAATCGTGAGGAGACTCCATGAAGTTTTCTTGAGATAATTTATCTAAAAGATAATTAATACTTTCGGTATTAATTAAAAGAAATTGAGCTTGATTGCTTAATGAAATTGCTGATTTAGATGCTGAAATATAAAAAATTAATATAGTTTTCGGTAACGAAATAATATAAATAAAACCTACAATCTTTTGAAGTTCTAGCAGTAGAATGCTCGTCTTCGGTACACTGTTTTATTAATCTCAAACCATTCTTTTCAAATATTTCATCAAGCCAATTAGCGATTTCATTTCCACAGTCCCATCCTTCAATTTTGTCTCCGCATACTTTACTAAGGCATTTTGAGGCACTCCTCCTTGCAAAATGAGGCACATTTAGTGGCAAAGACCTGAAAACCTTTCCTGGAATACAATGAAAAAGAAATAACGCAATTATCTTTTACGAAAGTTAATAGGCGCAAACCTTGAAACTCTAAGTCCATTGTACCTTCTTGAATGTTAAGTTTTGGTTTTAAAAGGCACAAACGTGGTTCGCGTTTCTGTGTTATACCAACCCCCGATGCATTAATAATCATCCACTCGCGATCATATTTTAATCCTGTAGAGATCAATTCCCATTTTTCTTCGATTTTATAAAAACCACAAGACTTTATTGGGTATATAAACACCTGCTCTAGGATTCCCTTTGTAACATTGTCATTATCAGTATACGAATCATTACTGGTAACGGAATAGCGATTAAATATATCTAAGCTTTTTTCGTTACATGAAACTACAGTTCGATTATTTAAGCTGTTTTCTTGATTTTTAACTACACGTGCAAAGTCATATTTTTCTTGTTTTGTTAAATTGTTCGGTGATCTATTAATGACTGGTTTATGAACAAAACAATCCACAATCATTTTCAAAAAAACATCTGCGTCTTCTTTCGTTGACATGTATCCAAAAGAAATTCGAATTGAACCTGTGGGATACCCATTAACCAGGTCGTTTTCGTCTCCACAAACATGTCCTAACTGAAGCAACAATATTTTATGTAGCAATGTTATTATAAAGGGTATTTTACGATATCTTTAAGATAAAAGAACTTAAACAATCAGAAACTTAAAGGTTTGCACAAAGTTATTAATTTGAGTTGTTACTCTTGACACCAAATTTTAGTACAACGAAAGTGGTCGTAGGTCGAAATAATTTTTGTAGAAAAGACGACCTTTAACAAACATTCAGGTCTCTGACATTATTAGATCATATACCCTACGATCATTGTGTGCATAACAATATTATTTTTTAAACTTACGTCAAAATGTCTCCTCACTTCTTCTGGGGTGAGTTGAAGGTGCCTTTGACAAGCACCAGGATTACAGGAGCATCCGGTTCTTAAATGAATACCAAACAAATTTGCAACATGTTTTACCTATAAAAAAATAATAGGAAACTTAAAATGAAACTTATAACAAATTTAAAACAAGTCATACTTCTGCATATCCCACATATTCCCCTGTATATTTTAATAAATTGAAGTTTACTATTCCTCCTTGAACATTTGAATTTTCAAATTGGGAATCGTGATAAAGAACAGCAACTGGTTCTCCATTAGAGTGACGTAAATAGAGCAAGGACTGGTATACATATTTAGCAAGATTAAATGTATGATGTGATATAAGGTTTGTAGAAAGTTGTAATCGTTTTAAGGTGCTGAAACCATGTCGCACTGCAATAATTGATAGAAAAGGCAGTGTTCCATCTTCGAATCTGCAGGAAAAGTCATTTAGTTGGAATTAATATACTGGCATTTGTTTGCTGTAATTGTGAAAATAATTTAAACAACATCTTTTACCTTCCACTTATAATGTTTTGAGAGACATGAACTTTATCTCTGGTTAAAACCATTGAAACTGAACCTCCCCCGAAATATCTCTTCTGTAGGACATCAACACTTGAATTTTTAATTAAAAGAGCCCCAAGTCCAGTAGGGTATCCAAAAATTTTATGAAAAGATAAGCACACAAAATCTGGCTTATATAAGGAAAGATTTAAATGATTGCTGGGAATAAAAGCAGCAGCATCTAACATACAAAACCATTTGTGTTTTTTATTTGGAGATACATGATTATTTAAAATGCCTTTCTGTATGATTGAGACCCATGATAATGGATATTTGTATCCAGAATAATTACTTTGTGCAGGGTAAACAAATAAGGAATGACAATTTTTCTCATATTGGGAACTTTTGCATTCTGAATTGAACAAATCAAATGCTTCACTACTGGAAATACATCTTACTTCATTGGCATACTCTCTCATGCCAAGAACTGATGTATGATTATCATCTAAATACCCAAATATTCCATCTTGTTCTCCTTCTCTGCTATAAAAGAACGATTCCCCTACTAACTTCAATGCTGCAGTAGCCCCTGATGTAAATACCACTGAATATTCTTCAATATTAGTGTTAAAATGTTGTAAAATTCTGTAAATTAATACCAAAATTTATTGTGACAATTGAATATAAGTTTTCTCTACTTACTCATTTCTAGTTTGATCAATCACATCTTCTGTTAAGTTACTAGAGGTGTTATTGGCATGTGGATTGCCATAAAAATTTTTTTGAAGGTCTTCAAAGATTTTTGAGAGTTGTACTTCAGAATAAAGTGTTGTACCTGCATGATCTAAATAACACTGTCCTAAAAATTACTTTTGTAAAGAAAATAATCTACCTTTTGATGTTCAATGTTGCTTTCAAAATTTATTGAAATACTAACCTTGTAATCTACAGAATTCTCTTTTTATTAAATCGATTGATAATGTCGAATATACATTTTTAAATTGTATTTTACTTATATTATAATTTTCACCCATTTGATTCTGAATTCTGATCCGTAACTAGCAAATGTAATGTAATCAAAACGTGATGTTAGATTCATTTTATCTTACAAAAATATTTGTCTTCTTATTATTACGCTTTAAACAGTATTATGAAACAGCCTTGTTGTATAATTAATCACTTTTATTAATCAGAACATATCACAATTGATAAGTTTAATTCATATTTTAAGTGAGGTTATTTTCATAGATAACGCTCACCGATTTTGACATTTATACAAGTCTTCTAAGACGGTGGTTACAGTACCTGACAAAGGTATGGAAGCAGTGTAATTATTTTATACTTCACAATTATCCTTAATGTATTTTATAGCAAATAAAGTAGTTAGTTTTTATTATGATGGGAAATAAATTGGGCATCTTAAAGTTTTACAGAACATTTAATTTAAAAATATCTGATAGTTACAAATATTAGCAATCATTTTTACATTTTAAATTTTTACATAAATATAACAAAATACTGTAGTCGGACATTTGTTACTAAATGAATAATAGGTAAACATAATTTATTCATCTTTTTACAACTTCTATCACTTTCCAAGGTGCTGACGAATGAAATTTGATTTTTTCAAATTATTGCAGATTGCGCGTTTTCTACGAAGTCACAAAAAAGTCAAATTGATTAATTCTAGAAGTTGTGAAACATCCATTAATGCCTTGCCATCAAAATAATGAGCTTTAAATCGTAAGTTTCTTCTTTAAAAATTGTTATTCTTGCGTTTTCTCTTCTTCCTCCGTTTTGGGGTGAAACAGGTTTAATAAACATTTTTGTGCGACAAAGGCGTTTTCTTCAGCAGTTGCTCCTCTCATTTCTTTGCACAAGTCTATTATTCTTGTCGCTTCAGTTGCGTTAGTAAATTGATGTATCATTATCTTGATGTTGTCATAAAGAACTTCCCCTGAATCGTTTTGATAGCCTCTTTTCGTATAAAAACATTTTAAATATTCTTTATACTTTGGGTCGTCTTCTGGTAATTCTAGAGTAACTTTTGTTCTTTCTATCACGCTTAAACTTACCCCTGTGCTATTTATGCATGACAGTTCGTCCTTTATCAAATTATTTTCCCATTCCCGAATTTCGATAGTACTCGATTTCTGTAACAAACTCAGTTGTTACGCATATAAAAATAAATCAAAACATAAGCTGCATGTAATTGCCTAATTTTGCTGACGTATTTCCAAATTGATAAAACAAGTAAATTGATACCGATTTATTTTTAATTTTCCTAAAATAGCGTTGCATTCAACACAAATCCCGAACGCATGCGTTAAACAAATGCGTCGTTGATAACAAGTACAGGAACAAAAAATCTTTATTAAAATTAATTGTTTTTAATTTAACAAATATACACGGCAGTAACAGTTATCAATCGGTGGTTGCGACTTAAAATTATTTAAGAGCAATACACTTTTAATTCAACTTTAATTTATTTCTCAATAACTCCATTCAAAAATTGATCATATCGGTTCAAATTCAATTAAATTTTGTAATTTCATTAAAAAAAAACGATGGCGGTAGGTTAATAGCAAGGGCACTTTTTATGATCAAGCATTTTATATAGAGAAAGTTCTCTAAATAATAAAATACTAAGTAATTAAAAAATTGATTAATAAAATATTGGACTTACCCCAGGATCTGCATTAGTAGAAATTAAATAAAGAACAACGATGGAAAAAATCGTTGTATTCATGTTGCCGAAACACAATTATTTCGCTCTTGGGTTTTATCGTCATGAACAGGACTTATCACATCCGCCGGCCTCCGGTCACCGCAAATGATGCGCGCTCTTAGTATACACTCTGAGACTAAAGGTTAAATGAAAAATAACGCGATAAACGTGTACAAATTTTGTGAATGAACTCATTTGACTGACGCAATTTAACTTTTCACAACGTCAATCGTTTACATACAATGGGAAGCGTTAAATATTGTATATTTATGTACTGATATATTTCTGCTGTTTATAATCAATTAAATTGATTTGGATAAATTTAAAAATAGTGTTCCTTATCCATGAAATTTTATTAAATTTAAATTTAGATACAACATAAGCCTAAGGTGCAATGCTTTTAAATGTATTTTCAAACTTTTCTTTTTATTGAATAGATAATTAGAGATGAAAACTACCTTTTATATTTCATTTTAATTATATTTATGTATTATTATAAGCATTGTATTGTTACTACCGTTAAATAGTTTTAATGAATTTATTTGATTTATTGCTAATGGGTGTAAAATAACGAGTTCTTATCTTATTTAATTTTGTAAACTATTGTTCTATTCTTTATTTGGAAGAATATTACAAAAAAATATTTTTTGTAATTATTTTATTTAATTATATATTTTTACGGTGGTGTGTTATATANATTAAATGTGTCGTTGGTTCTACAGGGTGATTGGATTTTTATACATTTCTTTGAAAGGGCTAGGTTTGAATCAGTTTTTTAACAGATTTGATAAAGTCGTACTTTGTTCAAAAATGAATACTTTATCTTATTTAATTTTGTAAACTATTGTTCTATTCTTTATTTGGAAGAATATTACAAAAAAATATTTTTTGTAATTATTTTATTTAATTATATATTTTTACGGTGGTGTGTTATATAGACACTATTTTACATTCACATTAGTTTGTGCAATTGCCGCCAGATGCCGCGCCCTGTCTATTAATCTGGTATTTCAGTTTACCCAATCAGTCTTTCGAGTCGTGTCACGTGAACGAGCTTGTTCCTAGTTTTGTCAATTTTTGTGGCTTGAGAAGTTTATGCCCATAGCACAGTTATTTCGGATTTTATTCTAAATTCTATATCAATTGTAAGTATTTTTATTTTATTGTCAACCTTTTAAATATACGTATTTGCAAGGGTTTCTCTGAAAGCACTACAATTTGTAAGGTAATTGTGCAACTACTGATAACTACGTCGCCATTTTTCGTTGTAGAACTTATTGCTTTTAGTCCGACCTTACAGTTTACAGTCATTGCTTTTGAATGTACAATTGAATGTAAAAACGAATTTTTAACGAAGTTTCCTAAATATTTTAAGTTTTGGTGCCCGTATTTTTTCAATTTGGCTTATGCAACATAGAATTTCGTTATGATTCGAAATGATCCTATTAATTGTAAGTAAATTCCTATCATAAATTATCTATCTACGAACGTATACTTTTCTCATGTTTGAATACTATAACAAGAATTTTGTTTCCTATTTACGAACAATTTGCATCTTAGATTTTTAATTGTAAAGGTTAGAATCGATATCTTTTACTTTGACAACCGAGGTGCCCTAATATTTTGTTGTGTAATTAATGATTTTTCGAAAATGCTCTATTTTTTTTAATAAGAAATGGAATTTAATTAAAAACTGTTTGCTAACGATCTATCCATTATAAAATGCGATATACTTAGGTACGTTTTAGGTTCACTTATGAGTAATAGATCTTAAAATCTATTTCATTGTTCTAAAAATATTGATAAGGTAAGGTTTCTATCTCTTTGTGTTATAAATTTGATGAGTGTACAAGAATTTGTTTTCGTTTTCATTGTGTATTGTTTCTGTACATTCTAACAAACATGTTTATTTATGTCAGTGTGTAGGTATTTGTTTTTATGTGATGTACATGAAAGATTGATAAGTGTTGAGGACTAGGCACTCCCTACATTAATGGTGACATGCTAATTGCAACATATTATAATTTGATTACTCATTTTATTGTACTTTTGCCTTTTTGTACGGTACTAACCCCGTTAACATACTGACCCATCAACATTGTTGATTATACCTGGAGTAGGTCTAGGTCTAGTACATAAAGAATAGTACCTTGGCTGGGCAAAGCCCTCACTAAAAGATTTCCAGAGCTTAAGTCCAAAGCCCTTACTTCAGCACATTTTAAAATTTGAGGACTTCGAATTACCAATTACATACTTCGAAAGAAAGTAGGTAGATTCAAATCTCTAAGCATTCCAAATTCGCTACTACTTCTTCATGAAAGGGTTTGGATTACAGTACCTCCAAACCCTGCTTTGAGTCCTTTGATTGAAAATGAAAATGGCAAAAAATATTAACGCTTTGTCTAGCTCCAAATAATATAAAATCTAGAATGCAGAAGTAACTTTATGAGACTGATTTTGAGTAAGCATTTGAGAGACTATAGTAAAATTTGCATAAAAAAAGTTGAAAGCAGAAATAGGGCAAGGTTTAAATGCATCGATGTCAAACTTTCAAAATGTAAATATTTCGAAGAAATCGGTTTTTAACACGTGTATTTGGTCATGTTCTCCAATTGATTTGGGTAATTATACAGCAGTAGCGGTGGGGATAATTATCACATACATTCCATTGGTATTTCGGCATGGTTTGACTCTGGAGTGGACGAACATTTGAAAAACTGATGTGCTATATAAAGCAACCATTTTTTGGAGGACTGTCAATTTCTAATACAATCGTATTGTCCAGTTTTTCACACTTTTGTAGCAAATAATCCTTGATTTCTGAGCAGTACTTTGCTTTTCTGTTTTTGTTTTACTGCCCAAGCCAATACCCTGTTCAGTTTGTCGGCAGCAGTTGTTAGCGAGAATATGAGAAGACGGCCTTGCTGTCAGTCCTTTCCCTTTTGTTTCTCTGTTTTTTTGTCCTTCATTAAGATCGTCGATCTCGATTTTCATCCATCTATATGTCCACAATATTTCAAGAGGTAAGGTAAGGTATGTATGTGCAAGCACACCAGTAACGGCCAGTTGAAAACCAAACATATGGATGTTCTATTGTCATCTTTTGAAAAATATGATCTGGTATAGGAAAATTCGTAAAAATACCTTCAGTCATCCTTTTATACAGATAATAAAAGTAATATAACCTTTTGAAGAGTGTCACACTTTGTCCAAAAGATATTGACCTTCGGTTTGTATAGGATAGATTTCAGAGAAAAACTATGCATTTTCGCTCATGCTAAATAAAAAATCCCCGAAAAAAGTGTGTATTTTCTATGTTTGGTGAATGTTTTGCTTTACCTGTATATGGCGAATCTTTTCTTTTGTTTGGTACGAGCCTCCATTCTTTGTTGACCACAATAAGTGAAATTATTATCGACCGATGCTTATTGCTTTCATTTTGGCTTAAATTAGTTGGATGGTAATTATAATGATATTTAATTGTTTCAAATTTCAAGGGTTTTTGAGTTTTCAAATCTAATTAAATGTGTCGTTGGTTCTACAGGGTGATTGGATTTTTATACATTTCTTTGAAAGGGCTAGGTTTGAATCAGTTTTTTAACAGATTTGATAAAGTCGTACTTTGTTCAAAAATGAATACTTTTTGGGATTTGGAGTTTTTTTTTTGAAAAAAAAAATATGCTTTAGCAAAAAAGCATTAATAAAGTACCTATTGATCATTATTTACTACATGGGCATGCTTTTAAATACCTACTTTCTAAGCAGTAGATAAGGAGTCAGGAATAAGGTTTTTTTTGAAAAATTTTACAAGTTTGGTGGGTACGGGAATGCTCTTGAATGTTTCTAGCGTTGTCATCAATTGCAATGATTTCGAATGTCTAGAATTGTTCTCATATAAAATGCTCCTGGGAGATCTGGATTGGAGGAATCCAGGATTTCTTGGAATATTCGAAGACCATCATGTGTAAATGGTAGGCCTAGCTTCTGAAACTGTTTTAGGGGATTTTCATCTAATTCGACCTTTTGCTCTAAATAGAAAATGTTTGGGAGTCTCCTATACCGTTAAATATTTCTCCTATTCAGGGTGTGTGCGGTTTTGCGGGTCGACCACCAGCTACCAAACATCTGTTTTTCATCTCATTTTCGGATAGACTAACGCTATTTGATCAAATTTTGTTCAAATGGGTCCCGGTTTATAACACCTTCAAAATAGTGCAAGTAGTGCAACTACCCTGCATACTTTTGCGAACAAACGTTGCTCGTTTTAGTATCGATTTTACCCAAACGTCCCTTATTTAATGCGAAAAGCATAAGCGCGTTTAATGCACCGTGCAAAAAGTGAAACTTCTGACCGGATTTCGCTTATTTTAAGGTCGCTAAACTTGACCTGAAAGCTCATCTGTGACGGTACAATGCCACGTAATACACGCGCCACCCCCTGTTCTCCGCCATCCCACGACTGACATCCCTTTTCGTCATATCCGCCTCTGCAGTCACCCACTTTACTTTCCTAGCGCATCATTTACGACACTAGGTAAAGTCCCTATCTATATTGTCTTTAATTTAATTTGGATTTATAAGACACCTACACTTTGTATCGTCAGTAATTACAGCGAAATCAAATATAACCGGAGCCAATCGTAGCCACGCAATAGCTGTTTTGTATTTTGAAATATTACGAATAAGTATTGCATTTTTTCAATGGATTTATTAAGCATTCATTTCGAAGGAAATCAGTCGGAAATATTGATAGGTACAAGAGAGAGGGACAAAGATGATGTGAAATCTTGTAACAGATTTTTATACTTTTACTTTCACTTGCCCACCGGTCGGTATCATATGAAAACCAGGGAACTGGACTTTTCTTGTTGTGAAGGACGACACTTCCACTTTTTTTGTTATTATTGAACCGACGCCTCTTCTGTCGATTCCACCACCATCGTCGCATCCCTTTGTTATCCTGTTATGAATTTCATAGTATTAATACCTCAGTAGGGCTATCATATTCAGACATTTATGATAAATAAGAAGTGTAGTAAACAATATAAAAAGTTTGTCTTTTCTCAAGTCTCCACCCCGTCTCATACAACTAAAACTACCAAAATGTTGGAGATTACGTATCTCCTCCTCTTCTAAATTAACCAGTTATCTTTGTATCAAATACAACATAGATTTGTCTGTTGCTGTAAAG